GCGGGCTTCGGCCCCCGGGAGAGGTTCTCGGGGTGGTCACCCCGCCTTTTAAATCAGGGATCTGCATGTCCAAACACTGATTACCCAGTTCTCTCACTTAAGTTTGCAGTGCGCTGGGGGCTTCGCAGCAGGCAGCGGGATTTATTCTGTCACAGCTTTGATATGACAGGCAACCCGGGTAAGCTTTGCCGTCACCGTCCTTGGATCCGAAACTGACAGTCCATATCCAGGATGCGAGAGCAAGGAAGAAAGAAATAGAATTTTTTTGCATAAGTCACCCAACCCAAGAAAATGATCCCCAAAGTAAAACAAGTTTGGTGTTTTGTTTTGTATTTAATTGTCAACTACTCCCCCTTTCTCCCTCCGGATCCATCGCCTCAGTGATATGAAATATGCCCTAAATGCTGCTGTCTGCTGTAGTTGCTGACATGATTTGAAAGAACATTTGCTGTTTTCCCATTAAGCCAGGGCAAATATGCAATGGTCATTTTTTTAGATGCTCCAATTAGTTCATGTATGTGTTTAAAATTTATGCCCTCCGTAAACCTTCTCTTCACCGAAAAAACGACAAAGAACTTAGCAGTTCCCACTAATCAGCAACTCCAACCACAAGCGTCATAGAAGATTTCCCGAATCGGAAGAAACGAGGCACTAGTGTAGCTGGACAGAGGAGAGCGCTACCTACAAACGCTCCCAGTCCCAGAGAAATTAAGTAAGTGGCAAAAATCGCGTACCTCTCCCCAGGAAGGTCTGCTCTAGCTACAAGGTCCCGGAGGCTCCCGGGTCCCGCCTTTAGCCGGCGGGGTCGCCCGCGCGAACACAGGGACAGCGATCCCCCACCCCCACCCCACATACACAGACACGCACACATGCCCCAGGCGTCGGCCGCCGCGGTGCGAGGGATGCCCGCCCCCAGGGACACCGCAGCCCGCGCGCACTGCCGCCCCGGCGGCGTCCTGCACTCCTCCCACTCCTGCTCCAGCCTCGCCGCGGAGCATCCCGCTCTCTCCGCCTCTAACCTCGGCTGCCAGCGGGCGCCGCCGGCGCGTCCCGAATCCCGCACGGGGAGCGAAGTCCTTTGCCTGCTCTCTTCTCCCCGCCTCCCACACCCGGGATGGGCTTCGTCACTGGGGCGCCGCGGGAGACAGGTTCTCCATCCAGCCTGGGCCCCGGGGGCGGGGCCACAGCTCCGCTTTCGGGAAGCGAGGCGGCAGTCACTAAGCGAGATCGCGGCGCTTGGAAACGGCGACGCCCGGGAGGACTCGTCCCGCCCCCTCGCTCCCCGCACCCCAATTGCCCCTTCCCCAGACGCATTCTGGGAAGTGTAGTCTTTTCTGAGCTAGCTAGTGCGGGGAGCGCGAGGAGCGGACCACAAGTCCCAGGGTTCCGCGCGCCCAGAGGGGGTTGTTGAGAGGCCGGGATCGGCATCGGTGGAGCCTGCGGTTCTTCTGAGCTAGCTAGTGCGGGGAGCGCGAGGAGCGGACCACAAGTCCCAGGATTCCGCGCGCCCAGAGGGGGTTGTTGAGAGGCCGGGATCGGCATCGGTGGAGCCTGCGGTTCTGCGGCTGAGGAGACTGCAGCTCACCACGGCGGCAGCTTCCCCGCGCTGGCGTCTCTCGGTGGCTGAGGCGGGCGGCCGGCGTGCGTATGTCTCTGTGTAGAAGAGCGGTGGAGTTGGAGCGGAGACAATCTCCCGCACCAGTTCCTGAGGGTTACTGGTAGCCTACTCAAGCTCAAGTTTGTTTCCTACTTCAGTTTAACTTTTTATTCAGATGGATTCTAATTTGTCAAAGTGCAGTGCTGCCAAGTTTAAGAAAAATGCTGGGGATGTGTTCTCACTCTGCCCTACCTCAGTACCAGCGCCTTCCCATGACCCACCTGCCTCCTAAGTTAGAGGACTTGGGTTTTTAAGGATAACCAGATTTTGGAAGCGGGAAGGTACTAACGCCATGAACAACTAGCCTTGGCCCTCAAACGCTGAAGCCGGTGGCATTTTTCCTAAAACTTCCTGAGGTGACCTATGAATCCGCTGTGTTCTGAAGTAGCCTATTCTCAAATTGGAGCCACAGCGGCCTTTGAGAAGAGATTTCAAAATCCCAGTGACTAAGAGGCTGCAAAAGGTTAATAGATTGTACGTTTGGAACGTCCTTTCCTTTTCATGCTGTCAATGTAATCGCTTACTCTACCTTTAATACAGTCCTCTGACCTGGTAGGAAAGCCTGGAGAAGATTAGACGTGTGAAAGTTTGCATGAGCAGTTGCTGCCTGCAGCGATGAAGAGGTTGTGAATTGTCCTCATCTTTCTTTTTAAGGAAACAGAATCTACAAACACCATGTGAGGTGGCACTGTGCTAGGCAGTAAGGACACTACCAAAAACAAGAACAAAAACATGGCCTGAAAAAGGTTTGAGACATAAGCAAAAACATAGATGACCAATAATGTCATTCCATAAAACAGTGCCAAGTGAATTATGTAGAGACAATAAGTCCTATATAGGAATTCAGAAGGGGAAAAGCTTTGTCAGGTGTAATAAGTCAGGAAAAGCTTCATGAAAGAAATAGGAAATATAGATAGAATTGAGATAAGTAAAGATAAATTTAAAAAGCATTATTCCATGGGTTTAGGGAATAAACAAAAGGATAGATGAAGAAAAACATAGATTTAGACAACACTGAAGAGAATATCCAGTTTGGTGCAAGAGAGAATTTGTGTTAAGAGGAGAAGGGGACATAAGACTTGAAAGGTTAAGACTGGATGCAGCTAAACATAGAGGTTTGCACTATGTCCCTAAAATATTGGTGAGTCATTGACTTTATTTTTGAAGAGGTGAATATCAATAAAAATAGTAATCAGAGCATTCAGTATTAGAAGTCTGAGGTAGCTCTTGAGGTACTACATTAGAGTTAGTGGCAATGGTCCAGAAAGGAAGTGACATATTCCAGAGAAAATGTGAAAGTATGTTGAAAGGAGTCTCCAAAACAAATAGAAATGGATGGAACATGTTCATTTCCAAAGCTATCTTTAACTAATGGCTACCATGCTACACCAGATTGTTAAATGAGTTGGAGGAATTAGTTCTGGGTCTGCCACTTACAACTGTAACCTTAAGTAAATCACTAAACCCTCTGATCTTTACTCTCCTCATTTTCTAAAGTATAATAATACTTACCTCACAAGATAATTGTGAGAATGAAACAAAATAATACACATGTGAAGAAAGTTAATTTGTAAAGCATTACCTAAATGTTAATTATTACTATGTGGTGGTATAGATTAACTTCTACTTGAAAGTGTGAAATAAAGCTTGGTAATAACCTTTGGTAATAAGCAGTCTAGAAAAGCATGAGTAAAACTCATATAATAATAACACTATGTTATTATAATGAATAGCACTTACTATGTTCCAGACATTGTAAATGGTGCTTTACATGTGTTAAATAATTTAATCCTCATCCCAGTAATAATCCTGTGAAGTACTTACTATTAATTCCTCATTTTACAGATGAAACTAGTGTAAAGAAAGTTTAAGTCATTTGTCCAAGGATGCACAAAGTAGTGACAAAACCTAGATTTAAACTCAAGCAGTCTGGCTACAGAGTCTGTTCTTTTTTATTTTTTTTTTCCTTTTTGTCTTTTTTCGTGTCCGGCAACGGACCGCAACCCTCAGTGTCGCGCCCGTACCGGACCAGGACCGGCAACAGGATCGCAACCCTCGGTGCTGCGCCCACCCCTCGCTCAGCCAGTGAGCGGGAACCGGTCTGTATGTGGGATCCGAACCCTCGGCGGGAGCGCCGCTGCACTCCCAAGCGGCGCACTGTAGCAGTGCGCCACCGGGCTGGCCCAGAGTCTGTTCTTAACCACTTACAGTTATGGAAGAAATTTGTTAGATGATAAACTAGGTTCACCTGTGAGTTACAAACCCAGAATTCAAGGGGTCTTCAAAAAATTCATGGAAGGATTTACGTTATCTTTTAATTCAATTTTTCCACAAACTTTTTAGAATACCCTCATATCAGTGATTTAAACTTGATAGAATTTTATTTCTCACAAAAACCTGGAAGTAGTATAGTACTAGTATGATGGCTCTGCTTAAAGAAATCCTTTATTACTCAAACTATGGCCTGGATGCTCGTATGCCAGCATTCTGCTCTGCTGTCCCTAAGCATTTATGGTTTGAGATGGAGTACCAACCATCATATGTACATTCTAAGTACATTTCAAAGAAGAAGAGAAGGAGCATGGGACACGTGTTGGCTGCCTTCAAAACCTACTTCGAGTCTTTTTCTGTTTATATCCTATTGGACTGAACTTAGTTACATGGCCATACCAAGCCACAGGGACATCTAGGAACTAGTCTTTATTCTGGGCAATCATGTGCCTAGCTGAAAATAGGGGATTCTTATAATATGGGAAAAGGAGAGGACACTTTTAATCCTTTATCTCTTTTAATCCTTGCAACAACCCTATGAGTAGATAGCTTCATTTTAATGTGAGGGAACTAAGACCCAGAAAGAATAAGCAATTTAACCAAGATTACACAGTAAGAGGCAGAACCGGAATTAAGATCTGGTCTGCTCAACTTCCCCATACCTCCCAACCTAAGACATAGATTCATATATTATCAAACAATTGAAGAGAAAATAATAGCAGAGTATAGCAAGATCACAGAATTTCTCTCTTCAAGTTTCTTAGATAATGAGGGGGAGAAGAATTGTCAAGAAACAGTATTAAGGGCAGAAGGTAAGTTGGAAAATGTATAAAAATTCTCACTAAAAT